AATAATAATCATTTATTGGTAGAAAAGTGGATTACACGTTTCCCCGGTCCAATAACGTTTGCGCGCAGCACGTGCCGACAGTGCGAGTCACAGTGGTAGAATTATGCCGGAGCGGAGTGCAGTCACATCCTGCAGTCACATCCTCCTACCGACGCAAAGTTCCAAGGAATTTTTCCGCGAAAGTAATCCCAGTTACGTCGCGCGATAAGACCCAACTGGAAGAATATACGACGGCGTAAAGTAAGCGAGGCGACCAGAAGCCCGAGAGCAGAAGATTCATTTAAGGCTTATGAAGAAGTCTACCCCCTTCCGTGAGAGTCGCCGTTCCAGCCATTCCCAGCCAACTCGTCCCACGAAAAACTCTCCCATTCTTGAACTATCGTTCGTCCTCGCGCGAGCACAGTGGTATAATGGAGGACCATCGCCGCCGGTGAAAGTTCGCCGGTGAAAAGTTCGGATATTTTATTCGGCGGCCCGGAATAACTTTTAATATCCCGATTCTAGGTTTATACCGGAAGAGAGGGTGGGACGAAAAATGTGTGTGAGAAAGAGAGAGAGAGAGAGAGAGAGAGCAAGGTTGGGTTACCTGGGTGAAGGGGATGGTGGACAGAATGAAAAGGAGAGAGTAACTCTCTCGCGACTTTAACGTCGGCGGACTGACGTCGCGCTTCGCCGGGCTTTGTAGACTTTTAATGAAGAGTTGGGACTCGCTTATTGGTTTCAGTGAGCGGTGACGGCGGCGGGAAACTGTTCGCGGGCGTTCACGCGTTTTATTACTTACTCCCCGCGCAAGACCGCGTATATTTTTCGAGCCGCTGTGCGGCGAACCGCCGTCAACGACGCGTTGTCGCGTCGCAAAAGATGGAATATTGTACAGTTGAAATGTTAACTAGTTCGAAACTCGTCCGGCACTACCAGGGTTACCTCCTTGCGGCGGCAAGTTTCATAAAGTTCAAGCAGGCGGTAAATTGTACGCGATACATTGTATCGAGCCCCCTTGAGCGCGGTATCGTTCGAAGTTGTCCGAAGAACTTCCATGATTTCATCTTCATTTTTTTCTTATGTACATACTCATGAATTTATCAGAGAGAAACCGGATCTTTCAGAGAAACAGATGCTTTTTTAACGTTTACGTCATGTATCAAAGTTGCTTCACTATATTTTTCTTCGGGGTAAAAATATAAAGATATCTTGCGTTTGCAGAATTTTATGTGTGTGCATTTATACAGAATTAAAACACCAACATATATAAAGTATTCTAAAATAAAAGACATCTTAAGAATATCTGGAAGATTGGGACGGTTTTACATTTTGCAGACGTTCGTATTAAATATAAATTTGCAGATTCCTTCTAAAAGAGAGAATACAAAGAAAAAAGTAGAAAACATTGAAAATTAAAACAAAAAAACGGAGATATCTTTTAGTAAAACTTTCGCTATAATGATATCATAGCCCATTATTTCTATCCATGTAAAAATGTTAAATGAAGTAAATCAAATCATCATTTCAGAACATGTTTAAATGTAATAATAAACATGGACAAAAACGTGCGAAATGTTCTCAGAAATTAAAATAATTGTAAAACGTTATCATACCCCAAAAGTTATTTGCATTTTACAACCGCGAAAAAACATGTAGGTACATAAAAATAATTGGGGGCAGCTGTAGAGTTAATTAGAGGTGCGATAAAAACGCGCGTTATCGCGCCTGAGATAAATTTTGCCAGGTGACGGGATGGCGTGCGTCAAACTCGGGAGGAAGAGCGGCAGTTTAACAAATTCAGAATGTAATCATAGGCCCGAGTACGTCGGGCTCCTTAGCCGCTGCTTAGTTACGTAGTCCGCCAGCGTGTCCCGGCAAGTTCGCTCGAGCAAAGTTTCTAATCCGCAAATCGTTGCCTAATATACACGCGGCAGCGGAGGTGATGCATGTTTAAGGCGGATGGTTTACGTCGGAAACTTCGGGCTGTAATTCTTGCGCGAGTACAATGCGTGCGGCATATGGCGGTACGTAATGGGAAGGTCAAGATGTGAGGGGAATCCCATAACGTGCCATATAATTTAACCAAAAAAAGCTAATTATATTTGACTAATTTATTAATAATAATTTAAAAATAGCAATTTCATTTACATTCATATGACATGCCACATTCATTGCAATATTAATATTTGTCGTTCTTAATTGCTTAAAAATTCGTTATTGTTTTGCGACAAAAAAGGAATGTGAATAAAAATATAATGCTTATTAGCTGATAAAAATAATAAATGGAATTCGTGAGAAAAACAAAAATATCAAAACTATAAATAAAATAATGTAAAAAACAAAAAGCTGATTTAAACAGTATATTTTGAAATACCCATGAAGAAACAGAAAATAATTGAACTATGATACATAAAGAAATCGAGTCTTGATGTATTAATTTGGAAAGTAAATATTTAATATATCGTATTCGTATCTAATTAAATTTATGAAATAGAATTTATGGAATATTCAACAAGTAAGAATTTAATGCCTATTACGGTATCAAAGCTGGATCTCAGATGCTTTTTAAATAATTTCTATATGAATTTATATACAGTACTAAATATGTAGTCATTTGAACTGCGCTCCGAAATTATTTTTCGGACTTATAAAAAGCAAATTAAACTACTATAATAATATCACAAATTAAATTGATAAGCAATTTAATAATTTGGTGCTCAATTTGGCATCCTGTTAGAAAGTTGTTAATGTATTAAAAAAACTGTAAATAAATTGCGAAAAATATTACCTCGAATAAGAAGGAATATTACTTGTCTCTAAATTTACGAAATAGAAGGATCTTCATACGATCATATTTTTCAAATGGCGAATCTACCCCAACCGAATAGCTTAAATCGTTCAATTTTTACGTACTCAGAGGACTATTTATCAAAAATATCGTCATGTGCCCTCATATATAAGTCCATTCGTCATTCTCCCTAGTCCTGCATGAAATAACCTGGAAGAAATAGGCGCGCGACGAGCTCCCATGCAAATTTTACTTTCCCGCTTTTAAATTTACTCCCTTAAGTTCTGCGAAGAATCGCGCTCCTTGATTTTATTGTTCCACGAGAAGCGAGAGAAGCACCAGCGACTGGGACAAAGGAGTTGATCTTTGATGCGGCACTCCTTTCTCTCGTCGCCTCATTCCGGAGGACGACGATATTTGCATTGCGGTCGCGAAACCGCGCTGAGATCGGAATTGCATCAAATTTCATTGGAAATGCGCATTTAAGTCGAGCCGCCTCAAGATATAACGAAGAAGGAAAGGGCGAGCTTGTCATTACGCAAATTTAAGGCTGGACTGTATATGTATAAAGGAGGACTCGTCCAAACTCCATGCGCTCGCACTCTCGACTCGTAAAGAGGCACCCTTGTATTAAAACGCATTAAGCCCACCTGTCGGTAGTACCGCGTAGTCCACACATAACGATGTTTTACTGCTGATGCTAAAAATTTAATAAGCTCATGCAAATGAGAGCTCTTATGTAAATCTGGAAAATTTCACGGCTAACCAGACCGGCCAAATCGCGGTACATATTTTTCGCGCGCACGAGATCCTTATTACGACGATAAATTTTGCCAGTTTAGCAAAAACTTACGAGAGAGTGACACTGATTTGCGTATGCACTTTTAGAGAATGTCTCGCGCTTTTAAATCCAAATAAAAAAAAAAGAAACATGTAATTTCCGATATTTTACATATCAACATTATACTTTCACAGCTTTCTTAATATTCAAAAATAATTTAAATTGTAATAAAATTGAGAGAAGTATTTATATACATTGCGAAAAAACATATTGAATTTTAACAAATACTTTTGAATAGTATTAACTTGACATTTATATAGTAAATAAATATTTACTATATAAAAAAGGAGTTAAATCAAATTAATGGTTTTTGTTCTAAATAAATGTATGTTTACATTCAGTATTATTCAGCCAGTATTCGTTAAAATTTAGAATATTTTTTTCTCAGTGTATAATACCAGTAATTTTAGAAATTAAGTGTACTTTTAGAAAAAAACCACTTCGCTCAAGATAAAAGCATTCTTTAAAGAACGTTGATATAAATGACTTTACTAATTGGGGTAATTAATCGGGCTTTTTATTACATCGCGCGGCATTTCCACGATATTGTACTTAAGGACACAACTTAGCGAGACATAAATCACGCGAAAGAAAAATTTGACGTTAGAAAGAGGAACAGTTACTTGGTGTATGTACTTTATCTACGCCGACGGAAGGCAGCAGTCGGAGGGAGTTCGATCTCTTGCAGCGTGTTGGCTGCAAGTTACTTGATCTGCTCTCTCTAGCCCAGAGTCTCGTGATAACTTTGTGATGGCTGGATAAGGATTTTGTGCCGGGTAGCTATGCGCGTTGGAGAGAAAGGGAAAAGACAGAGGGCCCGGGCTTAAGTCGAGCGAAACTTTCCAGCGTCGTGGAAACTGCGCGTTCGCGGAGGTGTTACGAAAGTCGTATATCCACGAAATGATACCGCGCCTCTTGTTACTTCAACAACGGAACGACGCTTCTTTGCGTTTATGTGCTTTACGATATGGTCGACTATAGTGTCGCGAATAAATACGTGTTTGCAAGCGGAACTGGAGAATCGATTGGCCGTTTTCGCATGAGGCAAACGATTTCGCGATCTTATGATACGTAAGTCTGGAAATGGCTATGACGCAGTGTCGTTTCCTTAATTTTGCATGACAACTGATTTTATTCCCAGTATTATCGAATAATACGTTCTTTCATTAATACATAAATCCATTTGTAAGCAATATAATGTCAAGCAAAATAGATACATTTATTTGTAAACTAACATCTTTAAATATTATATAAATCCCTAAGTTCGCAGAAACTGTACAATTTATCACTCTCTAACTAATTAAAAAAAATTTATTTTGAAGAATTTATTATTATTAGTATATACTTATTATTATTTTATATTTATTATTATATAAGTTTGTTACTCACGTAAAATGTAGAACATGTAAAATCCACTCCTGTAACAAAAAATTGAATTAAATTAAAATTTATTCAAGCCAAAAATATAATATAGTGTATATATATTATTTTATATCATTAATATTAATATAAGATTTATAAGATCTTGAAATAAGAAAAATATAAAAATAATAATTAACAACAGTATAGATTATTATAAATAATTCCACGTATTATTTAAATATTTTTTCGTATACCACAATAGTGTACATACAACGATTTTTTACGGTACTACATCTTACGATTAGTTCCGTTTTAATCGCTCGATTGCTAAAAACAGTGTGACGAATTTTATAATCGCCTTAGTTCCGTAGCGATATTTAATTGCACGGCAATGCGCTGTGCAATTAAAAGGAAAAAGCGCTGCGTCACAAGTAACTCGGGTTTACAGTAACGGCAATAAACGGCGTACATATGCGACAGCTACGTGTGTGGCGCAAGGCTTCTTGTTTAAACATAGTACATGAAAACGCGCACGTCCGTCGGACCTTCGAAAGTTCCGAAAAAAGGAGAACGAGAACGCCGATACTCGATCTACGGACGACTGCATTCATGCCCGACGTAGGTACATTTAGCAAGTTGGGATGACGCGGCAGCGTGCAGGACTCATTGAAAGTTGAAGTGTTGTTTCTTGTTTTACGAAGCGGAAAACTACTTAGGTGCTTAAGAGATAATTTGTCAGACGGAAGACTGGGAGGAGCTGCTACCGCGATTCTAACGGGACGGTGAGAGGAAACGCGTGTTTCTGTATGAGTCTCCCCGTAGATATCTGTGTGTGTGTGTGTGTGTGTGTGTGTGTGTATGTGCGCGCGCGCGTATATGTATGTGTATGCATCCGTTTACTCCTTAGCTCCACACTTCAATCATGCGGATCTCAGGAAATAGCAGATCGTTCTGACGTCTCGGCAAGAGGTCCGAACGCGTGTTTGTAAATCCCTCTGATGCCACGTTTAAAGCCTAACTGTGCACACATGCAAATATTTACGTTACACTTCAATGTTATCAAATAATCCCATTTAAAAATGTAAATCGTCGTTAAATTCAATTCAAAAATTTTATCCGCAGTGTGGGACACCTTAAGGGACCGCGAAGGGCAGCATAATTTAGAGTTCTCGCGATGTACATATCCTTATATAATTCATGTAAAATGATTAACCTTTTCAAAAAGGAATGATCTTACATAAAATTATATATATGTATATATATTTTATATAAAATTATATAAAATCTTATATAACAAAAAAAAATTATATATTATATAAAATTTATATAAAATCTTATATAAAATTATATATATATATATACATATATATATATATATATATATATATATTAAAAATCTTTAAAAATCTCTATTATAAATACGACACTGACATCGCCGGGTCATTTTTCTCTGCTTGAAAGACAATTTCTTTAAACCTTCTTCAAATTTTGTTTTATACCATCGCTAAGCATTCGTTTTGCATACAAATGACGGTGACAGAAGTTTGTCTCTCATCGGCACGTTCCGGCAAGATAACGGGTCCGGATTGCAAGTTCTACGAAAGAAAATTACAAGTTATACCCATCTACAACGGCTTACGGCTTCGTCTCAGTGTATTACTTCTGTTTTCTTGAAAATGGAAGCGGATATGTCCCGGATGGCACTCGCCAAGGTTTTCATGAATATTCTTTAGCCGACACTAATGCGCTTTATAAATATGTATTAAAGCCGCGGATATCCCCGACAAATTAAGCTTTCCAGCTGCTCCGTAACCCTTCCTGTTCCTTTCAGCCGAGGCGTTACCGTCGGAAAGACGCAATTGGAATAATAATCTGCCCCGACGACGATCCGCATTGCGCCGATTCGTCGTGGGAGACGCTTAATATTCCGTAGACGCAAGTATATTTTTCTATTACTCGACCGCGCACGAGGTATTACGATGTTATAATTAATCTGATCCGATTATAAGCTGCGTTAATGAGGGTATACCAGCGAATGTGACCAAAGTGCATGTATGTGTCATAACGAAAATGTCGTGTGTTGCATTTTATATTAGCGCAAGCGAGCGGGCATTCATGAAACGCGACATAGGCTTTCGCTCTTATTTGCGTTGCATGAACGTATCAGCGTAAAAAGTATAGAATGTAAATATCATGCGCAAATCATGCAAATGAGAAGTGAAATTAATCCCAATCTATGTAACACTCGGCGAATTGTAAATACCAGTTTTGATTATGGCTTTAAACAACTGCGACCCGTTTATTCGTTAGATTGACTACTACGAACAATGCGTATATTTGCACTATCAACAGTATCGACCACTATTTCTGTGGATAAATCGTGTGGCATTCGTGAGTTTATTCTCTAGATGACTAATATCCATTTCTACGTAAGATTAACTTTAATCACGGTTTAATTTACTCTTTATCCTTTTCTGATTCTTAGACTCAGAAAAAGATAAAGAACAAGTGTTAGATTATCAAGATCAAAGTTAATCTATTATATATTGGCAGAAACGGGCATAGATGTATTTGCATCGGAAGTTATACCGAATTATATATTGTAGAAAACCGTAAGATTTATTAGCATGAGTATATTCATAATTATTATCCCTCATAATTATTATCATTATCACTCATTATTTATCTTATAAGACAAATAATTTCTTATGTTTACTGTAGTTGTGATCTTGATAAATGCACGATTTTTAATAGTAAATATTCAAAAATTGTTCGTTTCATTATTATAAAAATTTGATAAAACTAAATTATATTTCGTAATTAGATGTAACGCGAATATATGCTATTTTAATTGTAAAATTAATTCAATTAATTAACTTTATGTAGTTTAAATAATAATTAAATGAATGTTTGCGGATGTTTCAAGACTGACAAATAATCGGTACATAGTTTGTTCAGCTTAAACTGAAAATTGTAAGATTAATAAAAAAAAATATATTATTAATATAAGACTAAGACCCGCTTTAACCGAATTAGATATTTATTTGTATTGACTTTGTCAAAATATATAAAGTTTTATTTTAATAATAACAATGTATATGACTATACATATACGATTTCTTCAGGTAAATATTAAGTATCTAATAATCATGTTCTTTGATTAAAAAAAACAAAAAGTATGATAAATTGCTTATAAGTAATAATACACTAAGATAAAAAATTAAAAGATTGCAACTCATCGTGATAAATATTCTTCATACAATATAACGGAGCGATATAAAATATATGCTCATAGCCGCTCTTCAACATACTGAAATGTACACTCTAGATACCTCTATCCTGCCTATAATAATAATCCCGCACTGTCGTATTTCCATTCGATATTTGATCGTCGATCGAGTTCACATTTTCTTCATTTCTAACTTCCACTTCATATGCAGCGTATAATAATGTCTTCACGGAAAAAAATCTCGATTTTTCACATAAAATAATGGAAATCAGTCCTGTGAGGAAAATCACGGTTTTTATCCACGTTTTTTATCATAAAAATCTAATCAGACATAAAATATAAAGCAAAGAAACTTATGTGCGCCTATATCGTTATGTCACGCATAGATTTCTCAGAAATAGCCACAAATATTTATATTATTGATTAAAGGAGTATACTTAGATTCTCAAATATATTATATATGAACAGCGTCGCATATCACTATGTCTTATTACATCTTTCTCTTATAATCAAATTCCTATGATTTTCATAAAGAATCGTATAACTGGGTTAAAAATTCAATGCAAACGTAAAAGTCAGCGAATACAAATCCTATATATATTTGTAGGATAATCCACTTCGGCGAATTCTGTCAACTACGTCAAACTCGCAATCCATTTTCTGTTGCATCGATTCGGATTTAGTTAGTTACCGGTATTCGGACAGTGACACGTGTATCGTCCTACTGTCTATCACTGCCAAAAGGCGACTTGACATGGTCCCAGCTATAGACTGTTTAGTAGTCAATAAATTATGAGATATCGATGTTCTGTACACATATACTACTCACATGGAATACAAGCTTTAAATCATATCTGTATCCGTTAAAAAAAGTTTGAGAAAAATGAGTTATTTCATTTCTACTCTTATTACCAGTAATATTTGAACGCGTGATATATTTTGACAATGCATTACAAATAATAAATTAAAAATCAATTTGTTTTCCTATTCTTTTTAATTCCACCAGCAATTTTGTTGGACTTCAAAGTCACAATCAATTTTTATATTTACATAAATTTCAGTAATAAATTTAAATCTCTAGAAAATAAGTAAAATATTATACAATCTGACTTCTATTATGATATAAACTCGTTGTTAAAACTTTTATAAGTATGTAAGAATTTTTATATAGAATTTTTTCAGATTTTTATACATTCCAGAACAATAAAAAATCTGAAATTCGAAGAATCTAGGTTGTGGATGAAAGGTGAAATTTTCACATTGCCAATAGCGAGTTAATAATTATATTATTGTTTTTTTATCTCTCATATAATATCATAATTATTCAATCATTATATAATTTACTACAATCACATAAGAGTTCAAACATTTAAACAAAATATCAAACTATTCCATATATATATAATAAGAAAGCTCTCTCGTATAAGTCATTTATCACGATACTTGGAACAGTTATTGCCGATCAAGTAGGTATGTCGTCAAAAAAACTTGTTTCACTTGTTAGACTAACAATAAGATATCGCTTATAAGATTCTGGCATTAATGTAATGATCCTTTCGGGCAGCGTTACGTCCGAAATTGCCAAAGCGATATAACGCGTATAGCGGAACTTCCGCACGGAAAAGTCCGCGTAAAGTTTCAGCTTTAAAACCAATTAAGCCAATATAAACTTCGGGGCTATGTGCGGTCTTCGCGAGCCGTAGTTGAGCTAGTTGAAGTAACCAAAAAGGATAACTGGCATGAACTCGATGCGATAACTTCTATATGTTCAAGTGGAATAATCAGGCAAAACGCAGTCCGCGATCTGAACAAATTAGCAAAATTCTC